ATTCTAGGGACCATGTTTTAGCCAGCACCAAACATAGTACTTGGTCTGTAGTGGGTGCTTAGTAATGTTTGTTGAGTGAATGAATGGCTGACAGCATCTCTTCCCTTAACTTTCTAAACCTTGAGGAGTAGTGGTTAGTAAGGAGTTATGCCATCCTCTCTCACAGGCATCCTCTCCTCACCTGTAGGCCAGGTAGTTAAATATAGCAGATACCTAGAAAAATAAGGGTATGAGCAAGCCTGCAACCTTTACTGGCCTGCTTGCAGCTCCCACATACTTTGGGACAAAGTTGCAGCATTTCTGAGGCAGTGAGCTGTTTCCTGCATGCTTGAAGCCTTGAGATCAATAGAGATCCATTACTGCTAAATTCTGACAGTGGAGGCAGTGAAGGGGGTGTGCCTGTATCCCTTGCAGTAGGGGACCTAAATCCTCTTGTTGCAAACAACCAACTGGCCTGGGAGCAGTGAATTGGCCTCTTCAGGTTCTAAGGCAGCTATTGGAGGTTAGAGAACCAGACAGGAAGATGAAGCATTGCCTGGAGTCTCTTCTTTCAGTGAGGCCCTAATCTGCGGAGGCCCTGGGCTTGCCCTTTCCCTACTCTGTAACAGAAAGGGCTGCCTGGGTCCTCCAAGGCTGTGGTTGAGGCCTCATGGAGCCAACCCATTGTTCTTTAGAAGCAATAAACTTCCCAGCAGCAGAGGATAGCGGAGCCAAAATAGCTGCAGGGGGAAACATGTAACTATTGGGCCTTAGAAAAACATAAGAACAAAGGTTCAGAGATTTCTGTGCATTAGTATCTCATAAACTGATATGCCCATTATAGCTTTAGGGAAGAGGGGCATGGCTTCCTCTGGCATCACAGATTCAGTGGGAAATGCCCTCCTTCAACACCCAAACCGAGCTGGGAGGGCATGGGAGAGGGAGAAAAATTAATTGATCTTACCATGATTAGACATTTGCCAAGTGTCTACAAACATGTAGTGTATTATGTTGGATAATGTGGAAGATAAAAGAAATATAAAAACCTGCCGGCTAAATTAAAACACATCTTTTAAATGAAAAGCAAAGGAACATGTAAGACATGTCTTTGACTCAGCATATAGTCTAGTTGGATAGTCAGAATATACGCACATAAAACAATAAAAGTATTCCCGTTTCATTAATTTCAGATACCATGGATTATAAGATGCACCATTTTATTAACTCAAAGAAAGAAAAGCACTTCCAGTTAAACCAACATCAACTGTAATTTGCATCTCAATTCAAGAGATGTTAAAATGTGTATGGGGGATAAGGCTCAATTTTTAAGACATACAAGATAGCACATGCTAAGTCACAAATGAATCAAACTAATAAAAGCATTTAGGAATTCTGAGGAAAACCTACAATTGAGGATTAAAGCAAAGAGGGAAAAAACAGGAGCTGAGCCTGAGCCAAAGAAACTCAAGCCTTAGATCACTGAAGCGACAGGAGGGCATTAGGGCAAATGGAAGCCCCAAAGGAAATCCAGCCAGGAAGGCACAATGGGATATGAGGTTTCATGGACAATGAGTAGAGCAGTTGGGGTGGGTTGTGGGTTAGTGTAAGCAGATAGTGAGCAGGGGGACAGGAGGAGCATCTCAATAAACCAGAGCACTGCTCTAACCAAAGTGGTCTGCTTACACCCATCTCATTCATGTTCTGGCTCTGAAGAGGAAAGTTTTGTGGGACAAAGAAGTGGAATCACACCATGTTGTCATTCATTCCTCCACTCAGCAATATTGATTGAGAACCCACTAAATTCAAGGGACTTTGGAGGAAATAGATTAATCACATAAATTCTGCCTACTAACAGAAAGAAGTCATTTACTGAAATAACTGAGATAAGTGTCATTATTATCCCCATTCTAAAGATGATGACACCAAGGTACAGAGAGGCCAAGTAACTTACCCAACATCACACTGCTGGTAAATGGCAGAGCTAGAGCTCAAATCCAAGCATTTTGACTCTAGAGCTTATGCTCGACTGCTGGATACACTGTCTCTCTCAGAGCAATGCAAAGCAGAGGGACCTCAGCACAGCTCAGAGAAAGGGGAGAGTCCTGTCATCTGTAAAGGCAGCAAAAGAATAATGTGGATTTGACTTGTGTGGCACTCTAGGCAGGATGAGACAAGGCATAAACTCCGTGCAGGGGGCAGTGAAACAGTAAAGATTGCTCGGATCAAAGAAATTGTAAAAATTAAAAGGTCATAAAGAGATCTTGAGACTTTAGACAACTGCAGACAAAGGAGAGTCCCCAACAGTTTTTAATCTGGGATCAGATCTGTGCACTAGATTAATTAATTTGTAAAAGAAGATTAGTGTGCTGTCAATAAGATGGATTATAGGGAGAAGAAACTGGAGTCAGAAAGACCAATTATGGAGTTACTGCAATACTTTAAATAAAAGGACTTTTGACCCAGGATAATGCCAGAGTTAGATCATGGTCTGCACTTTTTATGAACTCAAAAGGCTGGGGATGTACACTCCCCCAAATACCCTGGGGTCTTTGATCTATGAACTTATCTAAGCACCCATGAGCTTTGTTTCCAGCCTTGGCATATAGTAGCATCATTTGTTCTAAAACAATTGCCTTTGACTTTCCATGAGCCTCACAGAGCGGAGAAAGTGGGATAGGAGAGGAGGCCCAGGGACAGAGAACCAGTAGGCCACCAATTGCCTTGCACAATCTTGGTAACTAAACATGTATTTCTCTAACTATTTATATACTACAGATTTCAAACTCTTTCCTGCCTAACCTTCTCTTTTCCACCTTATAAATTCCTGAATTTTAAACTCTTTTCTTGTGGTAGCCACCCCATCAAATTGTAGAGCTGGAAGAGACTTGTGTTATCATCTACCCCAAACCTCTTGTTCCACAGACAAACTCTGAAGCCCTGAGAAGGAAGGGACCTGTCTCAGGCCACAGAGCCAGCGGGTGGGGACATGCCGCTGATGCTCATAGCTTCCCCGACCTGCCTGTCTCCACTCTCACCTCAGATGGGCAGCACCTGAAACAACTGTCCCTGGTGCAGGAATTCAGTTTTATATGACAGGGAAGTTTTATATGCTTGAGTTTTCAGTGATGATGCCCACATCCTGCAGATCATTCTGGCCACTGGAACCTAACAGACCTGTGTGACATCTGCAGTATCTCTCAGGTGCTTCAGCAACAGTTGTTTTAAAAATTCCTGATTATCAAGTTTGCATGATTATAGTCTTTGCCTGACTGTTAAGTTTTGAGCTATTCAGGGTGGACTTAGGAGGCAAGTCTTAGGTTGGGATGAGGGGTAACTTATAATCACCAGATGCCTGCTAGCAGTTTCCATCTGGATGTTCCACCATCACCTCAAGGACAACACATATCTCTTAAGACTTCCTTGCCATCTGCATTGCCTTCCTCTGTAATTCACTGCTACCCAGACTACAGCCTTGTGGGCCGTCCAAGTTCCCTCTTCCTCTACCCACAGCAGTCAGTCACTAACGTCCACTTTACTTTTTCTTAATGCCTCTTGCTTCTTGGAACTCTATATTGGGCAATGGTGAGATAGTTGGAAACTGGAGTCTAAATAGGCAAAATTCAAGAAAGAAGGAACCTCCCTCCTTTGAAATCTGCTTGCTTAGCACCTGTAAGTATCATAGGGTCCTTTTAAAATGTTAGCTCAGGACCCAGAATTTGCCTTTATCCTTATTATCTGAGACCCTTGGTTGTAGAATCCATTTGTGAGCTTCCAGCCGTGACCCTCCGCATTTTCCTGACATAGCCTCTTCCTGCTGCCTCTCCAGCTGTGGGAGCCTCTGTAGAGGCCCACTTTTAACCAGGACAGGTTATGCTGAGTGGCCCTCATGCCACGCTGGCCCAGATGGTCCTAGAGAGTGAGCAATATGAGGACAGTCAGTCTTTGAGCTGAATTTCCTGCAGCCCTACTGTAGACATGGCATGAGCTAGATGCTGAAGGGATTACTAAAAAGTATAAGATTCCTCACTTCAAAGAGTCAGCCTGGTTAAAATGGAGGAAGAAAAGGCTAGCAGCACATGTAACATATGAATTCTAGTTCAAGACAATAAATTTTTTCACTTGGCACCCATTTAATGTCAGACACTGAGAGGTTCTGGATAAAGAGATACAGGATAGTTCTAATCACAGGGGGTTCATGGCTGGAAGAGAAGACAGCTGGGAAACAATTGTAAGCCACTGCAATGCATGCTCTCGTGATCAAGGTAAGCCCAGGATGCTTTGAGAACCTAAACCAGGATTGAGACAGCAATTTGAATTACAGCTAGAAATGACTGAGCCTCACTGTGTGTCAAGCACTGTGCAATGCAGATTATGTTATTTTTTCTCATTTTATTCACCCAGTTTTTTTCTCATTTCATCCTTCTGACAACTTTCTGGGCAGAAACTATTTTTATTTCCAATTTTTGGACAAAGAAGCCTGCAGTCCCTCAGTATGTAACAGGAGGATCTGGTAGTTCAGCCCTAGACTGCCTCCTGACAGAGTGTGGGGCCACAGTGTGCAGTCAGCTCTTTCTAGAGGAGGTCTAGCCTGGGCAGAGCCAGCAGGGTGAATGGGAACTAGCCAAACAGAGCTGGATTGGGCAATGGTAGGCTGCACATATTGCACACATGGAGAAAAGTGAGTGAAGGGCCCGTAGTGGAAAGAACATGGCACACTATAGAATCCAGTGCTTCTCTGAACAGCTGAAATGGTCAAGGAAGACTTCACAAAGAAGGCTGCACTTGGCTTTGAGGGACAGCCCAAGGGCCCAGTGTCTCAGCATGGGAAGAAAGCAAAACAGAGAGAAAGGTGGGCCCTGGCAGTGAGCAGTGCAGGCTCTAAGTGAAAGATAAAAGAGAGGAACATGAGGAGACTTTGAATTTGGGAAGCCTCCTTGATGTGGATGTGGGAGGGGACACCGTTGGGGATGCAGCAGAAGCTGAGGTCAAGCCGTGCCACCTGACCTGTCTTTCCCCTTCAGCCTACGCTCAGCTGCATCCGCACCAGCTCCTCTCACAGCCATCCTCAAAGCATCTGCAGCCCCAGTTTGTAATCCAGCAGCAGCAGCCACAGCAATCACGGTCTGCGCTCCAAGCCCCTTCCCATCCCCAGCTCGCCTCAGTCCCTCCGAGCTTGGCCTTGCAGCCCAGCCCCGAAGCCCATGCCGTGCCACTAGGCACAGTTACATCTGCCCTGCCTCTCCAGTGCCCCACTGCCAATCTGCACAAGTCTGGCAGCACTCAGCAGTGTCACCCTCCCACGCCAGACGCTGGGCCTCACAATGGGTATCCCGAAGGCCTGTCCCACCCCCCTCAACACAGGATCCAGCATGCCTCAGCTGTCATCTTACAACTACAGCCTGCTTCACGAGTGGTGAGTAACTGGTCCCGAGGTCTGGGGAACAAAACGAGAGGACGCAGCTCGGGCAATCCCACAGCTGCCATTTGGGTGTGTTCCTGGCTGGACTGGGTATTGTAGTCCTTTCTGGGTGTTCCAGGGAAGAAAAGGGGCCTCTCCTTAATTTGGGGCTGGCTGAATCTTAAAATCCTTCCTGCTACCCAAACTCCTCAAGAAACAGGGGAAGTGTCCGCAAATGCAGAGGCAACTCATGAGAAGACCATCTCTGTCCCGTCCCTTAACAGGCCCAGCAGTGCGCCCTGGATGAGTGGAAGGAAGTGGGGCCTGAGGAGAAGAGTGTGCCTGAAACTCAGTCTGGTCCGTCAGCACACCAGCAAGCTACCATCACTGCCATGCCTGGCGGCCTGCCTGTACCTAAGAGCCCTAACATCCAGCAGTCCCCGGCTCACGGTATGAAGCATAGAGGGACCCTTGGGGGAGGGGAAAAAGTCAGCCTTCCTTGCCATCCCCTGGCACATCCCTGGCCATCTAGAATGGGAGGGTAAAACAGTGCAGGCCCCGCAAGGCAACAAGGCAGCTGGGTAGGTGGAGACGGGAAATGAGCAGATGAACTGAGGATAAAGAAAGGGGACCCAAAGGACAGAGACAGAAAGGAGAATCAGAAGTTCTAGATGCAGACACTGAGGCCTACATGTCATTGCCGTCAGGTGTATCTGCCTATCCATATACCAAGGTGAGTGTTCAGGCAGGTGTTGAGTTGTCTTGATTCTCTGCTTTGATTGGTTTGAGAGGGAGTTCTTGACATTGGAAATATGACAAGAGGGCTGCTGTCGCTCAAAGATAAAGGAAATGCCTAGAGAAGCTGAAAAGGGGATACAGGAGTTCAGCTTATGGAACTGCTCAGCTCTGGGATTCCCGTCTGTCTGCCTGTAAGTGCCCAGGGACAGGTGGACTTCTCCATGACCTGGGTTTTGGGAGTCTGCTGGCCCTGTTACCCTGGCGGGAGAATCACAGCAGTCCCTTTGCCTCCGCAGCCATCCATTAGCATTCCTTCCCCTTCTGCCAGCGTGCAACAGTCTTGGCCTAGACCTCAGTGACATCCTGAGCCATGGGCCCTCTTCAACTCAGGCAGGCAGTGCCAATCATTGCACTAAATGGGCGCTGGGAGTGGGGGTGGGGAGAGCCAGAGAGAGTTTGGAAACTGAAGAAGGAGAAATGGGAAGAAAAGTACTTTGGGAGAGAGTAGGGAGAAAAAATTATAAACGTCCTGTGAGAAATGGAGAGTGGGATCAAGGAAAAGAGAAGCAAAAAATATGGAGAAAGAACCTTAGAAGAATTAAAAGATAAAAGGAGGTCATCTGCTTCCTTGGCACACTTGCAGCTATGAGGGGTTCACCATTTTGGAACGCAGCCCATTCTGTTGTGGAATTGCTCTAGTTACCAGAAAGTGGCTCTTCAAATGAAGCCAAAACCTGGTCTCCTCAAACTCTCACAAGTTGTGATTCTGTCTCATTAATTTTAAGAGTCCATCTCCTATGGTGTTTGTAGACAGTATGTCTCTTTCTGCTCCCTCCTATTAAAAAAAGAGAATCTCCAGGCTAAGTATCTGAGACTTTTTTCCTATTTTACTTATTACATGTCAAGACTTCCCATTCCCACCATTCTAGTCATTCTTATCTGGCCACATTCCACCTTTCCATTAGTTCTTACAAAGTGTGATCCCCCAAATTAAGCACAGTAATTCCAAATATAAAAAGCCACTAATCACTCACTATAGGTTGGCAGCTGAACTTAGCTTTATAAGGAGCAGGACTGTTTCCTGGATCTGAATGGTATGGTAGGGAGGAACTAAAATTTGTTGAACACCTACTATGTGCCACATACTGTTGTCAGTTTTCCTTCACCCACTCATGATAACCCTGAGAGATAGATATTACTATTCCCATTATTCAGAGGTGGAAACAAAAGCTTGAAGAGATTCCAGGTCACACAGCTATGAGAAGGGCAGCAATATGACTCTGGCTCTGAGTGTAACTCCCTCACCTTCCTTCATCAGGAATCTGCACCTGGGGCTCCAGATTAACCCAGGGGACCAGGGGTAATGGTGCCGTTTGTTCACAGAGCACTGTGTGTCACCTGAATTCCAAAGGGCTGGGTTCGGTTTTTGTTTCTGTGTTTGTTTTCAAGGTCTCCTTTTACATGGACTGCTATCATTCCAGGTTTCCTCAGTCTCAGACTTGTGTTATTTATATTTTGAGCCAAAATATAATTAATTAGACTTAGTAAAATGTTATCTTGTGAATTTAGCCCATAGTTCCAGCCTAGTGAGAAAATGGTAATAGTTAATAGCTAACATTTACTGAGCCCTCTCTGCCGGGCTTTCCAGATACTTCACTTCATCCTGACAGCAACTCTCTGAAGTAGGAAGTTTTATCATCCCTATTTTAAAGATAACAAAACAGAGGGACAGAATAAGTGGTGGAGCAGGAATGTTTTATATCTGAATTTTTAAATTCATTTCACTAACTTCTCTGCTTAACTTTGCCATCTGTAAATTATATAGCATGTTTTCTTTGCCTTTAACCTACTTGCTGATAGAAATATTGAATAGGACCTCATGAGGACACATACCCTGACTACAGGTTGGTGATAATCAACTTACTTTGCTCAAGTATTTGTTATACAACAACCCCTAAATGAACTGACATTTGCCTGTCTTTATCCATTTTGCCTGTAAAGCTCTTAAATCTCTTTCTGAAATCTAATGAAGATGATATACACATAAGAAGCATCCTGCCCTTGAGGTCTTATCTCATGCAAGAAGTAGGCTTTGCAGTGTATAAACAGTTGCCAACTACTCAAGACTTAAATATTTATCCATTCTGTATATGTTGGAATGCCTGCTCCATGCAAAGCAGTGGGATGGGAGGTGAAATGAAATCTGTACCCTCCCTTCAAGGGAGCTTAAGTTCTGCGGTAAAGATGAGAAAAAATAAGAAAAACTAAAATGTGATAAATGCCATATTAAAAATAATTATAATTAAGTAAAATATAAGATTACAAGTGCTTTAAAAGTTAAGAAGGTAAAGTTACTACCAAGTAGAGATTATCAGGAGAGACTGCAGGGAGAGTTACATTATTCTAGAGCAGGGCCTGGCAAACTCCATTCCAAGGGCCAAATCCATCATTTCACCAGTTTTTGTACAGCCCACAACATAAAGGATTTTACATTAGAAAAAATTTTTTTTAAGAATCAGAAGAATATTTCATGAGAGGGAAAAATCCAAATTTGGATATGAAATCCAAAATTTCTGTGTTCATAAATAAAATTTTATTGAAACACAGCCACACTTAACTCATGTGCTTATTGTCTGCAGTTGCTTTCCCGCTGAGCAGCAGAGTTGAATATTTTTAACAGAGACTGTATGGCCTGCAAAGTCTGAAGTATTTACATCTGGTCCCTTACAGAACAAGTCCGCCAACCACTGTTTTTTAGTCTAAACCTGAAGGACAGGTAAGAACCTTCCTTTAACATGCAGAGTTAGGGAAAGGGCATTCCAGGAGGGACTAGTAGAAACAAAGGTAGGCAGGCAGAGAAATGTGGGCATGTTTGGGGAATAGAGAAGTTGGGTATTTGATCCTATGTCACCCTCATTTACAAACAAAATATAAGAAAGGCAAAGGCAGAAAGGGGGAGGACATATGAATATTAATGAAGGGAGGCCTTCAAATTTTGAAAAATGGGGAAAGAAAGAGAATGGGGAAAAGAGGGAGAGAAGTAAACAATCAGGGAATACAAAATACCTGTAAAATGTGGAAACAAAAAGGAATGAGGCCTGAGGAAAAGTGTGTGGGGAAAAGACCAATTCCTTTTGTATCCCCCACAGCTCCTAGCCTATCTACCGAATGGACGTGCTTCGCCATGAAAATTTAAACCAGTGTGGTTTAGGAAGAAAAGTAACATTTATTGGGCTCCGTGTGCCAGGCACTGCTATCTGCGTTAATGCCCTCAGTTAACCTTCACAGCAAGCCTGAGGAGCAGACATTATCCCCGTTTATGGAGGTGTAACTGGGCCACTTTGGTCATTACTTAACCTCCCCGATCCTCAGTTCCCAGTGGAAAGAATAATGATTACTTGTAGGGTTATTGTGAACGCTAAGTGGGAGTGCTTACGTGTAGGCTTGACACATACTAAGCTCTCAATTACTGGTAGTCGTTATTATTACTGCCTCCAATTGGTCAAGGCAGGAGTCACAGTCCACAGCGCCACCGGGGACTTCCAAAATTTCTGTGTTCATAAATAAAATTTTATTGAAACACAGCCACACTTAACTCATGTGCTTATTGTCTGCAGTTGCTTTCCCGCTGAGCAGCAGAGTTGAATATTTTTAACAGAGACTGTATGGCCTGCAAAGTCTGAAGTATTTACATCTGGTCCCTTACAGAACAAGTCCGCCAACCACTGTTTTTTAGTCTAAACCTGAAGGACAGGTAAGAACCTTCCTTTAACATGCAGAGTTAGGGAAAGGGCATTCCAGGAGGGACTAGTAGAAACAAAGGTAGGCAGGCAGAGAAATGTGGGCATGTTTGGGGAATAGAGAAGTTGGGTATTTGATCCTATGTCACCCTCATTTACAAACAAAATATAAGAAAGGCAAAGGCAGAAAGGGGGAGGACATATGAATATTAATGAAGGGAGGCCTTCAAATTTTGAAAAATGGGGAAAGAAAGAGAATGGGGAAAAGAGGGAGAGAAGTAAACAATCAGGGAATACAAAATACGTGTAAAATGTGGAAACAAAAAGGAATGAGGCCTGAGGAAAAGTGTGTGGGGAAAAGACCAATTCCTTTTGTATCCCCCACAGCTCCTAGCCTATCTACCGAATGGACGTGCTTCGCCATGAAAATTTAAACCAGTGTGGTTTAGGAAGAAAAGTAACATTTATTGGGCTCCGTGTGCCAGGCACTGCTATCTGCGTTAATGCCCTCAGTTAACCTTCACAGCAAGCCTGAGGAGCAGACATTATCCCCGTTTATGGAGGTGTAACTGGGCCACTTTGGTCATTACTTAACCTCCCCGATCCTCAGTTCCCAGTGGAAAGAATAATGATTACTTGTAGGGTTATTGTGAACGCTAAGTGGGAGTGCTTACGTGTAGGCTTGACACATACTAAGCTCTCAATTACTGGTAGTCGTTATTATTACTGCCTCCAATTGGTCAAGGCAGGAGTCACAGTCCACAGCGCCACCGGGGACCTGTGACGCAGCGAGGCCAGACGGTCTCGTGGCGACCACTAGCCTCGAGATTTGGAGACCGGCCCGCCCGCGCACCGCGAGCCTCTGCGCCTTCCGGCGGGGCGGGGGGACCGGCGAGGCAGCACAAAGGAAGCGCGCGGCCCGGCTTCCGTGCCGGCGCCCCGCCTCCCGCAGGCCCCGCCCGCGCGACCCAG